AAACCATTTAGAAATGCTTCCCTGTAGAGGTGGCTAATTAATCAAATTTGAGTCAGATTAATTTATATTTCCATTTTTATAATAAAGATTCTGTTTTTTATCTTTCACTATAAATCCATCTCATCCTTATAGCATTTGCACCTCCCCGAAAGCCTAAACACATTCCCTGCTATACTGTTGTGTGTTAAGTTCACATGTATTTATTTTAAGTTAAAAGTGAAGTAGCGCATTATGAGTGATTACTGCTTAAAATGATCATGATCATATGTTTCGGCATAGTCAAGCCGCTTATATTTGAGTTTATAAGTTGATTGTGAAAGCTTCCACTAAAAAGGTAGAGGAAGTAAAATCACCCAACACCAAATGGCCCAAAGTTCTGGCAGGAAAGGGAAGACAGGAAGAATGAAGGCAGGTGTCACTGCCCCACTGAACATAAAAAACTCAACAACACTTTCTCATACAAGAACAAAATAGGGCCACTCAGCATATTTGTCAGATAATGCCCTCCCACAGTAGGGAAGAAGGAACATGTCCAAAACCCAGTAAATTTAAATTAAAAATCTAAACAGGTCTTCCTACATTTATAGGCTAGTGGAAATATATACATAATTTATACAGCAAAAAAGGTTAAAATGACAGATTTAGTACAAGAAGAAATACTGCAATGCCAAATGGGAGATGCTACATCTGACCTTGTGTATTTTCACAATAAAACGTGTAATTCGTCCCAAAATACGTCCGACACTAGATGGAGGTATGTAGAAACAGAATGTGAATATTTTGATGCAGTGAGAAAATGTAGAACTACAAACACAGTCGTACAACAGGCAAAAACATCAAATATGAGACTCCGTGATGCATTTATAAATGTACTGTTTATTCTGGGATTGTCCTACAAACACCAGCCAGGGTTTGGTGAAAAGTTGTGACTGAGTCCAGCAACAAAAGATATATAATGTGTCATGTTACCCATGAGGTTGTTTAGGATAGCATTAATTACCTCCAGTTAGGTTGTCTTTTTCATCTGAAGGAGTGGCCCTCAGATAGATGTACGACTTGTTCTTCTCCTGAAGAATTGCACTAGTGTCAATGGTCACAGCCTTATCCAAGGCTATCACCTCATAAGTAATAAAAAGACAGCCCCTGCAGAAAGAAGCATGTTTAATAAGCTATGGGACAGAGATCATTCTTCTCTCACACGCTGCATAAATCATTCTTTTAATAATGTAACTTACCCCAAGACAACTGCGCCAGTTACTTTAGCAACTTTCCCTAAATGTCAGCGAAGAGGAAGATCTTTATTTTCAACGTGTTTATTGAAATTTATTGTACAAGATTGCTGATTTGTCTAATAACTTACTTAAATCTTTCCACTGAAGCACTTTCTTCACACTAGGCGGCCCAGCTGTGCTCAGCCTCCGACAACGGATCCAGCGCAGAGCGGCTGCGGACATCCTTCCCCTGTGTGCCCTCCCAGATGTGCGTGTGTTAACCAGACTGCTGTCCAACCTATCTGACCAAGTCACAGACGTGAGGACAGTGTCTGATAAGGCACATAACGCTATGTCAACGCAAAAACGACCCGATAATTACATTTAATGTTATCATGTCAGTTTAAACACTTAGCAGTGCTAACATTTAACTCGTGACAGTGCTAATGGTGAACTAATCTAAAGCATTAATATAATCAAAGACCATTAGCTACCGGTAAACGTTAGCTAGCCACACAGGTGGGTGTGACTGACAGCTGGGCTAAAATTACTTGAGTAAATAACATAAACACCGGTAAGTCTCCGCCATAAAGCCAAAGCTGGCATGAACACCCAAACGTAATCCGGGTGAAGCTAAATGAAGCCTTAGCTGCCACTAACTTGATGGAGATTAGTTAGCATTTGGCTATGACTGTTCTAGCTCTGTGCAAGGCACCCAAACGGCTAATGGAGTAACCCGGTGGACATGTAGTGGATTAATGTCCATTTCTGATAAGCGAGTTTACCGTATTTATCGATGGACACGTTTTAAAAGAACTACGATAACGTCCTCCAAGACTGCAGCCGGTGTAAATAAACACAACATAAATTTGTCCCACAAATAATACGTCATCCACTGCAACAGTTTTTTTATTGACCGCTTTAGAGGTTCGGTGTGTGAACTGCAAGATTACGCAAAAGCGACAGCGTAAAAAGTAAATATGTCACGGGGGAAAAGAGGAGGGGCGAGAGTAAGAGAGGCATCAAATAAAGACGGTAATACTGTTACAATGCGATATTATAAATTCAAAAATGTTTATAGCCTTCTTGTTGCGGGAAGGATAAATTGTGGTCACATAAAGTTTAATTTCCATTCATGAAAATAGGGAAGTGTGGCTTCTTATTGGAGAACTGCAATTTATGGATGTGAAATTTGGCAATATCAGCAAACTGATAAGAATAGATGGGTTAGAGGAGGGGTGTCAAATATAAGGCACAGGGGCCAGAAATAAGCTGATGAACACTCCAATCGGGCCTCACTGGACAGCTTTAGGAAATGCGAAGAGAGTCTGTTTTAGTTTGACTTTTAATATAATTTTGTATCACAGATTTATCTTTACTGCTAAATACCTCCTATGTGGCCACACCTAAGTAATTAGGTAACAGATAAAAAAATATATATCAGAAAAGTTCCTTTTCTTCACTACAGAAATTAATGGGTTTTTTTTTTTAAACAATGGATACAAATAAAGGACGTTTTCTGTGAATAAACAAAAACTTTGTGTTTTGTAATCACAGGATTGACAAAGATATAGCTACCAGAACCTTTTCTGTGATTTTACACGTTTATTTCTTACAATTTAATTCTCATACATATAGTTTTCTTTCATTCACTACAGCAGTGGATGAATCTTTATTATGTAGAAAAAAACTGAGATGTTCTGTTGAAATTGTGCTTCTTTGTCAAATATTAAGATAATATTCAATAATCGAATAACCCATTATGAACGGACAGAAAGAAGAGTTTCATTGGTCTGGCCCACTTAAGATCAAAGTGTGCTGTATCTGGCTCACAGTTTAAAATGAGTTTGACCTCCTTTCTCTTTCTCAGTCAAATATGTACCAGATTTATTTAAAGTGAAAATTTGACAAAATGTTATTAGAACTAAAACCAGTAATGTCTTTTCTACAACTCTTTTCCATAAGTACAAGACAAAAATATATATAGGAGGACATCTGTGGGAAGGTCTGACAAAAAGAGCAAAGTATATCTATCTAAACAGAAGTGTATTTTTTACATGCAGTAACATATTTGTTATTACATGTTTTTTACATTTTATTTGCATTTTTAACATATCATAAAACTTTTAAAAACTTAAACACAACTCAAAACATTGTTCTTTCTTCTCAAAACTGATTTCTTTAACCAAAACAACACGCACATACCTTTACATTCCTACAGAACATCAAAAACCAAATTCAGAAATTCAGGAAACTACTATAAAAATTATTTGTGTATTTTTTGGCCATGAAGCTACATATTTAAATCCATGCAAATGTGTAAGAGTAAGTTTATTTTTTCTTGTTCTGGTGAAGTGTAGGGAGTTTTGTCCAAATATAGAATTTACAGTTCTACATATATCTCGACACCAGTGTTACCTGTTTCATGTAGTATATGGCAAAACTCAGTAATTCTACCATGTAATGTTAGTACAGTGAGAAACATTGCCAAGAAAATCAGTGCAGAGATACAAAAAGGTAACAAAAGAAGTATTTATTGGTTACTATAATACAAAATGTCCCACTGAGCAGCTGCACACATTTCACTGGAAATATTGGCATGGCTGAGCCTTCCTCTTCCTCCTCGTCCACGATGGCCTCCGCTGCCTGCTAGTCTTCCTCTTCTACACTTGAGGCCTCTTTTATACTCTGACACATGACTGAATTGTTCTTCTAGTTGAGTTTGAGGAGGTGCATGACGAGTGAGAGTAACTGGTAATGATTGTGTTGCCTTTTGAAGGCCAGTGTTTTGTAGGTGAAAAAAGCGTGTTGAATAATGGATTTGTGTGTCAGAAATGTGCAAAACTTGGATTTATAATGATATTTGAGTGAGACCAGTAAAATTGTGCTAAGAGTTTGGCATTTTGGAGTCATGTTTTTAGATTTGGTTGTATAGTTCTTTTTTGTGTGTATTAAATGTGGTAAACTAATTAATTTAGTTTCCGTAGTAGGTTTGTTTGTTTCGGTTTAGTTTTTAGTTTGCATTGTTTAAAAATTTTAAGTTTTAGGTTAGCTTTTATTATTATTTTTCTGTCTGGTTTTAGTCAGCTGTAAATACCTTAGCGATTATGTGTTTTGCCATTACGAGTGCTGCTCATCGTTTGGTCCTGTAAAGTTTAAGAGCTCTGTAGGGATTGTGTCCTTCACCTTTCAAACTTTACTGTTGTACACAAGTTCCTTCTTCAGGAAACAACAGTTAGGACAGTAATAAAAATGACAGCACAGCTGCACTGTAAATATAGCAGTCTACCACAGCTATTACTATTATTGTATTCTGGCTTTTTTTTGCTCTAGAGTGCATTACTGTGGAACAACACTATAGTCTTGAACTGTTGGTAGCTCATATTTGAGTGAGTGCTAGGTTGAACTGCATTGTAAGGTGACTACCTTGACTTTTATGAAGTGTGCTGGAGAGGTTTCATGAAAATCAACATAGTAGCAGTTCATAGTACAATGGTTCAGACATTTGCTTGCCATGCAAAAGGTCACTGGTTCAGTTTTAGCTGGAGATTAAAAGCCCATTTGTGCTTGTACCAAGGGAGCAGCTGAAAGTAGCTATAGGTGGAGTGGTAAAGGACAGAACCCATTACATTTTGAGATTGCTCAGTATCCTTTCTTTATACCCAGAGGCCTTATTGGAAGAATTATTCACTTTTTTTATATATATTTTGTGTCAGCTTATGTGGAGAAATGGTTGTCCTGCCGAGTCCCTCCAGACCTGTTGCAGACTAAAATGTCTGCACTGAAAAGCCTTTTTGAGTCTTGCTTTATTGCATTAACTTAAGAGCAGAGTCCAGTAAAATACATTCAAAACATACAGAACAAAAATTCTTATACCTAATGCCCACATTTTCTCACATGTCACATTCGCAAGTGCTGTTCATGCAAACACATAAACAAAATCATCTTGAATATGTGATTCAGAAAATAAAAAACATCAGGTCCATTTAACCAAGTTTTCATCATGAATTTGATAAAACATCAAATAGTCTAATGCACTTTATTAACTACAGGCTTACACACACTTTTTATTTATCTTTTAAGCTTCACGTGTACAATCATTACATCTTTTCTTGCATAGTTATTATACGACCTGCACGGAGAAAGCATATGTCTTGCCTTACATTATAAATAATCACCATTGACAGGATGCAACACCATTCAAATAACTGTTTACAATTTCTTTTTTTGTATAAAAGTATCTAATGATGAAAGGCAAATATGTTTATAAATATATAGCAGATTTGCTAAAAATTATGTAATTTCAGGAAGTTATTGTGTTAAGCAGGGCACTTAGCTGAGCTTGGCCTCTTTGTTTTCTCCACTCCAGCTCCACCTGATCATAAAAATCATTATAGATTTAGTCCAGTTTGGAAATCCATTCATCTCCCAATTAGTATCAGCCAGTGCTGCTTTCACTCCTCTTAGGTTCGGGTTTCCTGATAAGCTCTGATTATGCTCTCATAAGCTGGAGGTGGGGTCTGCGTAGCATGAAGACCTCTGACACTGTTCCCCCAAAATGACTCTGGTCTTGGTGGGGTGGCAGCTGGCTGGGCTACGCTTTGAGCTGATCCAGTTGATGTAGTCAGAGGTGGTGTACGTGGCAGTGTGGTTTGGCTACCCTCCTCTGCCTCTCTTGCAATTTGGCTGCACTGGAGGAGCGGGTGGAAGGTGGAGCCCCTGAAGCTGGATTTATGCGCCATTGCGTCAAAGTGATCTGGAGAGGAAGTCTGGCGGTGAAAGGTGAAAGCAGCTGTCACTAAGCTGTTGTTGCTTCGCCGGTCATAGCTGCTGCTGCGGTTAAAGCCTGGACGATGGCGGGAAGAAGTGTGCGAACGGCGATGCGGGCGGCGGGTGATGCTGGCAGAGCCTGCTTTGTGTCGGGAAAACCAAGTAAGCATCACATAAACTAGGGCGCCCAAGAGAAGGCCCACTGCCACAGAAGCACAGAAAGCTATAATCAGGTGGTCTGTGAAGAGAGAAGCATACCATTTAAAAAAAGGATCTTTATAAAATGATCCATGCTGTGGTATCTTTTTTATATCACAAATATTCCCATTACAAGTCTGTGAAAAAGTGTTTGCTCCCTTTCCTGCTTTCTTCTTGTTTATATGCTTTAGATCATTAAATGAAATTGTAATATTAGACAAAGATAACCTGAGTAAGTATAAAATGCAGTTTTAAATTATGGTTTAATTTATTAAACCATCATTTTGTTATTAATCAGTTAATTCATGATTCCCTGTGTGAAATCATGAATGAACTGTGATTAGCCAAATTTTTTCAGAAGTTCACTTCAGTTTCACAAGCCACTCCTAGGTTTGATTACTGCCAGACCCATTGAATCAAAGAATTACTTAAATAGAACCTGCCTGACAAAGTGAAGCAGGCTAAAAGATTTCAGAAGACAGCACATCGTGCCAAGATCTAAAGAAACAGCTGAGAATCAAAGTCATTGATATCTATCAGTCCGGAAAGGGTTATAAAGCCATTTCTAAAGCTTTAAGGCTGGGAATCTGAACTTGGAACAGCGGTGAACCTTCCTATTAGTGTCCGGCCTACCGAAATTAGTCCAAGCGCACATACATAACTTATGGAAGGAGGTCAGAAAATAACCAGGACAAAATCTAAAGAGCTGCAGGGTTCACATGTCTCAGTTACACTTAGAATTCATGACTTGGCAAAAATGGCATCCAAGAGAGAGTTCCAAGGAGAAAACCACTGCTGACCAAAAAGAACACAAAGGCTTGTCTTGCACTGCCAAAAAACATCTTGGTGATCCCCAAGATTTCTTGAAGGCTTGAGTACCTTTACATCTGGCATACAACTAACACATCATTTCATAAAAAGATCACCACACCAACAGTAAAATAAAATTCTAAAGGAGATTGTCTGGCCATCAGTTCATGCCCTAAAGCTCAAGTACACTTGGGCTATGCAGCAGAACAGTGATCTAAAACACATCAGCAGGCCCACCTCTGAATAGACAAAAACAAAAATGTAGGCTTTGGAGTTGCCTGGTCAAAGTCTTGACTTAAATCCCATTGAGTCTTTTTTGACATGACCTTAAAAAGGCCATTGATGCTGGAAAATCCTCCACTGTGGCTGAATTAAAACAATTCTGCAAAGAAGAGTTTGCCAAAATTCCACCACAGTGATGTGAAAGACTGATTACCAGGTATCACAAATACTTGCTTGCAGTTCTGTGTGGCAAGTGTGGAACAACCAGTTAATATTTCTACAAATGCATATAAAATTGACAAAAAGATACATTTAGATACATTTTTTGATGCTCTCAGTACAACAGCAGAAATTAATTTGGATCTAAATATCCTTCTGGATCCACACAGTCAATTAATGCACAGGTTGGAGGGTTTTTCAGCTTTGGTGAAGTTATACATCCTCACTGCTCTTATGCACATGCAGTGCATCTAAATATCCTTTATGGTCTTTTTTTTTTAATAATCCACTGTGAATGCAAGGGATTTAATGTGTGCTAGGAAGAAACTGAGAATTGCCAGACGTGTCTTGAAATATTGTGGCCCTTGACAAAATAATAATAGGCTTTCCTCTGCCTGTGTTTAACAGATTGAGCGTCTTGGAGAAAACAAACCAACTGAGTTTCATTTCCACACACGCACACACAGACAAAAAATGAAAAGCTGTTGACATATTCTTGATCAGTGCTACTTTGCCTTGGATAAAGCCAACTGAGCATGCTTGAGAGAAGGAAGAGAATGTAGCAGATGAGACAAATACCACTGGACTTATGCCAGGAAAACAAATCGGGTTCCCCTCAATAAAATGTTCAAAAAGTTTGAACCTGCTTTGTTACTAGACCACATTTCCACAAGTTTTTTTTTCTCTAATTTTGGAAAATGGAGGGCAGACGCTAGTAAAAAGTCATCTGGAAATGCCATTAGGGAAAACTGAAAAAAAGAAAACATCAGCAGCAAGTATGTCTGTGTAGGTTCTCGGTCATCCAGGTTATGGTAATCTAAGGAGCTTAGAAAGAAAAGTGACTGGATTGACATTAACATTGATTCAGTAGGTCACATGATAGGGTGAGGTTTCACCTTAAAACTCAGATAATGACCTACACCTTTATTCATTTGATGAGGCACCTGATCAATAGTGGGTCAAGTACCTTCTTAAGGGAAAACTCCCACTAGGGCTTAAATACCTGGGACTCTCCACCATTTGGTTTTAGAACAGAAGAAGATTCTCGGATGAAAGGTGAAACGTCCTCAAGAAACTTAAAGAAGTCCAGTCGCTTTTCTTTCCACGCTCCTTAGATGAGCACCAAACAGATTGAGCATTCTTAGAAGTCTGAAAAGGTTTCTTTGAATATTCAAATTTGGATGATAAAGCTTGGTTCAAAAAGGCACCAGGCCCGCATATTACATCTATTCCAGGAGGCGATTCAAGCTTGAATTCCTGAGGGCACCAATCAGAGCAACCACATGAAACACACCAGCTAAAAGAGAAAGAAAACTCAGAAAACTCACCAACGTCGGCAGGCTGAAGCATTTCCAGAAGGAAATTTGTGTTGTTCGCAGCCATGACTTAATCTGCTTTGTCAAAGGAGAGGAAGAGAGACTGAAGCTCAGTTCAGTCTGTCTGTTCCTCGTCTTCTCCCTTCTCTCCTGTCAATTCTTTCCTGTCCTTTTTTATGATGGGTTTTCCTGTCTTTCTGTCCCGTCTCTTTTCCTGTTCCCCCTACTTTCTCCCTCTTCTCCTTTGCTCACTTTCCCTGTCAGTAACGTCCGACTCCCTCAAAAGGAGACTCAGCCCAGACGCTCGCAGGGCTGGCAGCTAACTCTGACAGTCAGCTTGTTTATGGAAGCGGAAAACTACACTGTCACATTTCCTGCTTTTCTGCTGGAAATTAGCAACAGGAGGGGCTTATCTACTCAGGACAGAGATCCTGGAGGTATAGAGACGGGGTGTTTCTGTAATCACTTCCTCTCTCATCATTTCCTTCAGGTTGATTAAAGTAGAAGAAGGATCACCACCGCAGGAGTTAGTCCTTCAGCTGTTACCATATGAGAGTCTATTACAATCACAAATATTTTTCTTCCTTTCAGAAATGATAAATAGTTCAATCTCTTCTTTTTTTTCTTCCGTCACAGAGACTCCAGGCGACAAGCCATCACCTTGCACCAGAAGTTACATTTCTGGGGCTGTAAGGGGCATTGAAAGGCAAATCTCCAACTGAAAATGGTGATTGTAATTTTGCAAGTGTCTTTAACTGCAGCATTTGTATTGGTAAACTCAGTGTTTCTTCGGTGCCTCTCTCTCTATCAAAACCAAAGTTGCCTGAATTTGAGAGATTCATTAAAAAAATGTAATTTGATAAGAAAGAAGAGCTGCTCAGCTGCTCTTTTGATACACCAACATTTTTATTTCAAGTTCTTTTTTACCGCCTTCTCTCAACAAATCAGGATATAATGCACTGAAATGAATCTCTGTGTTTTTGATCCCACGCTAAACTAAGGAAAAAGAATTGCAGTCAAATCTGCTGCAAATTCATCAATTCAGTCAGGAAGAACGATGCCAGCAGTCACATTGGTATGCCTCTGAGGTAGACCGGCCCCTTTGCTCCAACAGCAGCTTTTTATTTTACTTCTCCGAGTTGACCCCTGATCTCAGCTTTCTCTAAACATTCACTGAGTCAATGGTTTTTTGTTTTTGTTTTTAAAATACACAATTATGAGCATTTTAGTCAAAAATCTCTGAGAGTTTATTGTGTTAAGAGAGCTTTAACCTTCTTACTGGCAAAGAGAGAGTAAGGGAGAGAGACTATCCCAACCAAAGCTTGAACTTCCTTTAATTGTTGGCTCGGCTGTATGACCTGTTGAAAATAGTATGTCAGGCCATTGTTTTAGTGCTGATATAGAGAAGCTGAAGGGCAATAAACCAACATGTTGATATGTGGCGGAGACATTCTTTAAGCTTTTATAGCTTTTGTTCATGGCATTTCTCAAGTGTAGCAGGGCGGAGTGGTGGGAAATAACTGTGCAGTCCTTAATGTCTTAATGTCTAAAGTAAAGAAATACACATCCAGAAGTACTTCAAAGATTTAGGTAGCAAGGAAAAATGCAGATTTTACAGATTTTTAAAAATTAATATTTTATACACCTTCAAAGCTGTGGCTTGTATCAATGTGCTTTTCTGGAGCATGTATAAAATTAGTAAAATAAAAATAAACAGGTGATACTGTTTTGTTTTAAAGACATTGCATTGGTTAGAAATTAATGCACCAGGGAGCTACTCTCTGTGTTTCTTCTGTCCCCGCTTTGATCAGTAGATGGAGCAATACTCCAGGGTAACTTCATATCTCTTTATGTGATCTGAAAGTCAGAGAGCATGTCTGCTGTCACCCTGTAAACATTAAACATCTGTAAACATTAAACGTCAGTCAAAATGGGGGGAAAGAGTTAGAAAAACATCTCTGTTAGCTAATTAGCAGACACAAATGATAAAAGGGCTGAGGTTATTTATCTTTAACATTTGCACTGTACTTTTGAATGTGTGATGCAGTCTGTTTGCAGACCTCCACATAATGATTATTCAACAGTATTGCACTCAAAAAAAGCCATGCTTTCTGCATCTTAATTAATAATGGGTGGCAGCCCTTTAAGGCAAGTACATTTTTACACAATTTTCATGAATTCATTTCATAAATAATTGTGTCCTTTTTGCTACAGAAAAACATGTAAAAGGCTTCTGAGTTGAATACATAACATACATCAGTATAACTGGAAAGATTCACTCATGTTTCAAACATGTTTCGTGGTAAACAACTTTTCAGATACAATAATTCAGGACCCATAATAGATTTGCAGAACAGCGTTTCTCTCTTAGCATGTTGATTTTTGCCATGCAGGTTGACAGCAAACTTTCTAATGAGATTTCAGAAAACTGCTGACTATGCATGAAAGAGATTACCATGCTAGCAGTCTTGCTCCCAGCTCTCTGGCTGTGCAATGATTAGATAAGAAAACGGATCTTAAAAGGGTTACTCTTGGATGGTTTCCTATTGACCTGAGTGTTTTGTCTCTGCTCTCCTCTGCTGCAGCATTGTTGACTTTCTCTTTCGCTGAATCTGTTTTGGTCCACAGGGGCGCTCAACGGTAGAGGTCACCTCGAGCTGAGCTGTGTAAAAATGTAGGAATCAGCAGTCCATTCCTGCTGCAGAGCAGCTGGCCAATCCAGCGAAATCCCACAACATTTCAGTGCACTGACGAGTCAAACGGCTGATTCTGACACATGTACATTTATTGGGAAGGAGTTCCTGTATAGCTGATACTGAATTCACCAAGGTAAAGCTTTTGCCCCATATTTTCTATGGCAGTAGCAATGGCAGGCCTGTAATTTGAATGGATTATTGTTTTGTTTTGTTTTTGCCTTGTCTTACACTGTGGTTTAGAACATTTTTAGTAGGTTTACCAGTAAAACACCAATTCATCTTGTTTGGGGGAGTTATTTTGAGGATTTCATGTTCTTCCACATCTTCTCTCCACAGCTTTTTGGCTGAAAGACAAATATTTCCCCCCAGTAAATATTATTTTTACACAGTCACTGCATAAAACAAACAAAACAACAGCACACAACAAAAGCTTCAAAAAGGCTGCCGAGATGTTGCAGAAATCTAGACATCCAGACCTGCAGATATACTGTGGAAGGCAAATCCTCATCCTTAAAATCAGCCCTTTTCACCTGCTGCCAATCATTTAGTGAAATCAAAGAAGCTTCAGTCAATCATTTATTAGTTTTTATGTTTTCAAGGCGTCCTCATCTGTGTCTGCCTTTGTGGAATGACGCTCTGGACGGAGCTCTGTAGCTCCCTCTTTTAGTTTTCTAAGAGCTCTCCTGAGATGATGATGAAAGGACTTGTCTAATGGGATTACACATCGTGATAAGTGCTCAGAGCCCAGTGGTTCATCGCACCTCCCTCTTGCATTTCAAAGAGTGGCATTGATCTGTTGTTGGGTAGTATATCTTGGACATTGTGTTTTAAGGGAGATGCTTTATTGCTTGATTCACAGAGGTTTGTTCTTAATGTTCTTTGTCATTCCAGCCCCAAAATATATGTGTGATTCCTTTAAAACTACATTTAAAATGAAATGTCCTTTGGTTAGGATCCAGCTCGCTTATTTTCAAGGATTTGATCTGCAAAAGACACCAATCCCCCCCACCGCCACCCGCACCCCATCCAACCTTTAACCTGAGCACACTGTAAAGGTCATGTCATGGGATAATTCACAAAGCTGCCCAATAAGCAATGAATTAAGTAGCAACTGAAACTTCTAGTTTATATTGAAATCAAGCAGCATTATGTCATACTTTTGCACACGTGTGCACATGTTCTCTGTATGCTTATGTATATTTAGATTTTATCATGCAAGAGATGGTCTACCTCTATTAATACCAGTGAAATAACAATTTTTCTGTTAGAAAAAATGATTAATAACAGGGTTCCAGTCTATTCCTTTAAGTAAGGAGAAAAATATAGACAATATATGATCATCTAGTCATTGTATTATTTTATTTATTACAATGACTTCATATTAAAAAACTGTATTTTTAAGGTGCAACCCAACCCAAATGTGATTTATACAACAGGTTGGAGCTTGAAATTCTTTCCTTAACCATCAAACAAAGCCAACAAATTATTATACTTTCTTGATTTTTAAGTGCTAGAGCCATTTAGCTCATTTTCAAAACAACATGCTTTCAAATATGTAAGTGATTTTGTTTTCTATGCATCATTAACGCTAATTGTTTTAATCCATTTTGCCTCCATTTTATCTTCAGTAATTTAAGAGCAGTTAATCTTGGTAAATAGCATCCATTTTCCACCACTAATAAAGCAAATACATCAGTCCTTCTGTCTGGCTGAAGGCGTAGTTATCACTCTGGAGTGAGTGCACAAGTTTGGCTTTAACCATTTCAACAAATTAATGCTCAAACCAATATTACCCTCAAATTGAGTCTGATAAATTTTCAGTAGCCTTAACATGTATTGGTGCTGACAGGTTTGATTCTTTAATGTCAGCCCTTTTTAAAGTGGGATTTATCTTCCATCGCACATTTTCTGTGACTCATTCTGTTTTTTCTTGTTTCTTTCTTTTGCCACTCTGCAGACACGCACATTTGCCCAGCTGAAGCCAACTTCCCATGTGGAAGAACCAGAAGGCAGGAGAAGAAGCCCTATCCTGAGGTCTGAGATGGAAGCGTATTCCTTTTGGTTGGACAGCAGGTGGCAGTACATGCAGACCACAAAGCTATACAGTCTGCAGGAGTAAAAGGCTCAGGGAAGGGAGGGGGGCCTCTAAGATGTTCAGTGCACAGACACACATGCATGCATGCTCGCATACACATCCAGTTTGCACTTACATCATCATTACCAGGGGAGGAGCTCTGCAGAATGTGAGGATTGCAGACAGCTACTGTAAGAGGGATGACTTCAAAAGAAACAGCAACATTGGCATGATTCAGTCTTGACACACTGCGGTCAGTGTGAAGACTCTAAACTGCTGCAGTCCTGGTCAGAGCATGAGGATCTTGCCAGGGTGATTCACAGGAGCTGGGACGTGACTTTAGTGACCTCAGTACAGCAGCATGGCATCACCCAGGCACTACGGACACTCTGCTCGGGATATTACCAACGTGATGCAGAAGCTGCAAGGTAGGAGCCAAATGCTTACTCACAATGCTCTAACTTGGTTTTGCAGAGTGTTTAGAGGTGACCTAGAGCTTGGTATGACACAGCAGAGCAGAATGAGGTAGAGATAGCGTGGAAAAATCTGTCTTTCATCTCATCCTCATGACATG